GAGATACAGGAAATTGGAAGACGTGAATCTGCTCGTTTGTCTAGGCAGTCAAGGGATTTTGATCCGGAAACAGACTTTGACATTAATAAATGCATTTGTTTAATTCCTCCTTTTTCAGAGAGAGATGTGGACAAATATTTTGTACTTTTTGAACGAGTGGCTACGACATTGAAATGGCCTAAAGAGGTATGGACTTTTCTTTTGCAATGTGTATTCACAGGAAAAGCCCAGGAGGCATATGCTTCTCTTTCACCTGAATTAAGTTTAAAATATGATCAGGTGAAATCTGCTGTTTTAAGGTCTTATGAATTAGTACCCGAGGCCTATTGGCAAAAGTTTAGGCGTTATAAAAAAGCTGAAAGCCAAACTTATGTCGAATTTGGTCGTGAAAAAACTGTACTTTTTGATCGTTGGTGTTCTGCACAAGAAGTGAAAAATTTAGAACAGCTTCGTGATCTAATTCTAATGGAGGAATTCAAAAATTGTCTACCAGACAAAATTGCAACGTACTTGAATGAACAGAAAGTCACTAATGTACTAGATGCTGCGGTATTAGCAGATGAATATGTTCTGACTCACAGAGAGAGCTTTGAAAAGCCATCTTTCTCTCCGTTGCAGCGTAGTCCTGTCACGCACTTTCACACTGAGCACAGTGCTAAAGATGCGGCTAGGCCAAGGCCAGTATGTGCTTATTGCAAAAAACGTGGTCATTTAATCAACAGCTGTTTTTTGTTGAATAAAAAGAAGCCTAAAACTGTGGCACTGGTAGAAAAAGTCTCAACATCAAACCTTTTTCAGTCTGGGTGTGTTGATTTGGAGATTTACTTACTATTTATAATGAAGGGAGTTGTTTCCTTGTCAGACAGTGATGTAAAAGTTCCTGTAACCATCTTGCGTGATACTGCCGCTTCTAGATCTATCATTCTACAAAGTGTGTTGCCTCTTTCTGATAAAACTTCGTTAAACTGCAATGAGATTGTTCAGGGATTTGGAATGAAACTTGTTAACCTGCCAATGCATTCTGTCCAGCTTGAGTCGGATCCGGTGTCTGGTCCAGTAGCAGTTGCAGCATGCACAGCTTTTCCAATAAAAGGAGTGGATTTTCTCTTGGGGAATGATCTTGCTGGGGGCAAAATCTTAGTGAGTCCTGAAGTAACTGCTGTGCCCTTTTTGTCTGAAGGCCCAGATGAACTGCAGGTGAAGTATCCAACAGTGTTTCCTGTATGTGCTGTCACTCGGTCAATGGCTAAAGCTAACTTGATAGACTCTGATGGCTTGGAGGATAGTTTTATGATAGATCTTGACAGAGAACCTAAAGTAGACTCTGATAGTGGCCCTGTTCTGAGTTCTCCATCTTCAGTCTCTGATTTTACAGAGTTGGATAGAAAATGTGAAAACTCATCAGCTGACAATGTGCTAGAATGTTCTGAGCTGTCTGAAAACTTTAGTGGGGTTCGTATGTCAAAAGAACATCTAATTTCTGAACAAAGGAGTGATGATTCGCTCGTTTCTCTGTATGAATTGGCTGTCCCTGAAGAAAAGCTTATCGACAATGTGTCTGGTTATTTTGTCAAAAATAACATTTTAATGCGCAAGTGGACGCCATCTTCTGCTTCTGTGCATGATGATTGGAGCACTGTAACACAAATTGTTGTTCCAAAAAAGCTTCGAGGTGAAATACTCAGTTTAGCTCATGACAACCCCTTAGCTGGTCATTTGGGTGTCACCAAAACCTATGATCGTATTTTGCGTAATTTTTTTTGGCCAGGTCTAAAACGGGATGTGAAGTGGCATTGTAGAACATGTCATACTTGTCAAATAGCTGGAAAGTCAAATCCACCGATTCCACCTTACCCTTTATATCCTATTCCAGCTGTAGACTCGCCGTTTGATCATGTCGTGGTGGACTGTGTAGGCCCATTGCCTCGGACCAAATCTGGCAGTAAATTTTTGTTGACCATTATGTGCGCTTCAACACGTTTTCCTGAGGCCATACCCATGCGCAAAATTACGGCCACGTCAGTAGTAAAAGCACTGACCAAGTTCTTCTCACTGTTTGGGCTTCCCAAGGTAATTCAAACGGACCAGGGGACAAATTTTATGTCTCGTGTTTTTAAACAGGTCACCAATCAGCTGAAAATATCCCATAACTTTTCAAGTGCTTACCATCCTGAAAGCCAGGGCACATTGGAGAGATTTCATCAGACCCTTAAAACAATGCTTCGTGCATATTGCCTGGAGTTTGAAAAGGATTGGGATGAGGGTGTGCACTTGCTTTTGTTTGCAGCTCGAGAAGTGGTGCAGGAATCTACTGGCTTCAGCCCAGCAGAATTGGTGTTTGCACATAATATTCGTGGCCCTTTGAAATTGCTGCGAGACAATTGGTTGAATGAATCGGAACAAAAAAATATACTGGATTATTTTAGCTCTTTTTGGCACAAGCTACATCGTGCATGTGATCTGGCTAAACAGAATTTAGCAGTTGCTCAATCCAGGATGAAAAACTGGTTTGATAAGAACAGTGTGGACAGACAGTTTAAGCCGGGGGATAAAGTTTTGGTATTTTTACCGATTCCTGGCTGTAGCCTTCAAGCGAGGTATAGTGGACCTTATGTCATTGAAAAAAGGGTAAGTGATAGGGATTATGTGGTTGCTACCCCCGACCGTGTTCGTCGTAGCAGACTCTGCCACATCAACATGATCAAACCTTATTATGATCATGGGCAAATGATTCCTCACAGCTCTAAAAAAATAAAAACAGATCCATCTATACCTAACACTGAGTGTTCAACTGTCTCAAGTGTGTTACAGGTACAATCATTTTCCGGGTTGTCATCGGGTGCTGACAGTGTCATTGAGAACTCTGAGTCGCTGTCTGATCTTGAAGCTGGCGGCGACATTGAGAGTCCATCTGTGGCTACAGTTCAAGGATGTTAAAAAAATTCTGAGATGCTTGCTAATCTTGACTCTTGTTTTTTGCATCTTTCTGATTTACAGAGAACAGACATATTTAAATTAATTAAGTGTCATGTTTCCCTGTTTTCAGATGTTCCATCTCAGACTCATGTGCTGCAGCATGACATCGATGTTGGTGCTAATGCTGCGATTAAACAACATCCATACCGCGTCAACCCTGTGAAACGTCAGCGACTACAAAATCAAGTCAATTATATGTTGGCGCATGGTATTGCAGAACCTAGTATTAGCTCATGGAGCTCTCCCTGTCTTTTGGCTATGAAGTCTGATGGATCTGAACGTTTCTGCACAGACTTTAGAAGGGTTAACAATGTCACAAAACCTGACTGTCACCCTCTTCCTCGTATGGAAGATTGTGTTGACCGTGTGGGGTCGGCTGTGTTTGTGACAAAGTTAGACCTTCTTAAAGGATTTTGGCAGGTGCCATTAACTCAACGTGCAAAGGAAATCTCGGCATTTGTTACACCTGATGCCTTCTTACAGTAGACAGTAATGCCTTTTGGGGTACGCAATGCGCCCGCGACATTTCAGCGGTTAGTTAACTGCGTGTTGGGGGGAGTGCCAGGATGTGAGGTGTATCTAGATGACATCGTTATTCATTCAACAACGTGGCAAGAACACATCCATCAGTTGACACAGGTTTTTGAGAAACTGACTGATGCCAATTTAACAGTTAATTTGGCCAAATGTGATTTTGCAAAAGCAACGGTAGTCTACTTGGGTAAGATTGTGGGTAGTGGCATGGTAAAACCAGTACACGCCAAGATTGAGGCTATCACGTCATTTCCAGTCCCTTCCACACGTCGCGAATTACAGCGCTTTCTGGGAATGGCGGGATATTACCGTAATTTTTGTAAAAACTTTTCGACAGTAGTTTCTCCTCTCACCGACCTATTAAGTCCGAAGTCGGTTTTTAAATGGTCACCGGAATGTCAACATTCTTTTGAGTCACTTAAACACCTTTTAATGCATGCACCCGTCTTGGCGGCTCCAGTGTACGACCGTACATTCAAATTGGCTGTTGATGCTAGCGATGTAGGGGCAGGCGCTGTGCTATTGCAGGATGGGCTTGATGGAGTTTAGCACCCAGTGTGCTACTTTTCAAAAAAATTCCAGAAACATCAAAAAGCATACTCCACAATCGAAAAAGAAGCTCTGGCGCTGGTTTTGGCCCTTAACAATTTTGAAGTTTATATTGGATCATCATCTTATCCAATAACAGTCTACACTGATCACAACCCTCTCATCTTTATTCATAGAATGCGTAATTCTAACCAACGCTTAATGAGATGGGCTTTGTTTGTCCAAGCCTTTAACTTGGACATGAAACATGTTGCCGGTAAAAATAATGTGCTGGCCGATGCGATGTCACGTATTACCATATGGTGATGGGTGGTGTTTATTGTCTTTTTGTTTTGTTTACCAGTCACCATTTTGGGGGTGGAGGTGTTGCGTGTGGCGTTCACTCCTGCCCTTAATAATTAATTGATCTTGTTTGTCCTTTTCCCTTTTCAGTTTTCTATTGGTTAATCCAGTGGCGTCAGGCCTTTAAAACGAACGGATGCGGACTTCTACGGCCCTCATTCCTCCATGTCACCACAGTCTTTGACGGCTTTATTGTTGTGTTCTCCTTTATGCTTTCCTTTTGATATTTGTTTGGAGTGGGGAGCTCCAATCTGCTTTAGGTTTGTTTGGTTGTTCTTTATTATGTTGTTGGGCTCCCCATCTCTTGTCAATTTGGATTGTTTTGTTGGTTATGTTATATTAATAAATAATTTAGCTGGAGAACTTTGGCCGTTGTTTATTATGTTACGTTGTCTTTTGATCACGAGTCTTATTTAAGTTATAGGGACCGTAACACATGCAAACACAGAAATGCCAAGTGACCTAGCCTAGGCCTATTGAAAATGAAAAGGGTGGTCTGTATTGCTGGTGTATATAGGCCTGCAGTCCGCCAAGCCTGAGCGAATATTAAAACGTCAAATAACAGATACATTCCGCAAAATAACAAATAAATTAGGCCTTCGAACATAGGAAATATATTTTTTACTTTTTTGTGTGTGTCTGTGTGCGTTTTATATTTGCTATATGCTGTTGTAGCGCTTTGACATGTCTGCGTCTTTATTAGGGAAAACACAAGACATTTGCACAATATTCAAGTTAGTGCAGGCATCCGCTCCTCTGTAACACATGGAAATGCAAGAATAACAATGATTCTCGTTATAAAATATACTTATCTAAAGCTATACAATGCATGGCTACTTGTGGCCAATATCTGCAACTTGGTGAGAGCCAATCAAAGAGGTTTGATCAACATTCTGTTGGCTTTCATTTGCATACAGGAGGCGGGGATTGCCTATAAATATTCACCTCCCGCACTGTTTACTCGCAGATCACCTGTCTTGGTACACTTTATTCGTCCAGCTGGCAACAGTGTATATCGATATGGCCAGTCCTGCCAAGGCTCCGAAGGTTGAGGAAAACATAGTAGAGGGCTTTATACACAACGTGTCGCCCAGACGGCAGTCTAGGCGAAACAGCCCCTATTTCTCAGCAATAATTCAGAGCGCCAGAGAAGAATATCACAGAGTGGTGGTGTTCGCCATAGAGAAGCAAGTCGTGTTCAACTAAGCTGTGAGAAGCAGCAACGGTGTCCGTCTGCGCAACATCAGACGCAGCCTGAGTAAGCCCGTCCTCACCCTTCTCGCAGATCAGTTTTGACAGCAGCACGATTTGTGCTGTGGCAGCGAGGCTGCCTCGGTTTGACTAACGGCGCTCTTGCTTTCTGTCTAGGTTTCTTGGATCCGTAGGCTTCAATGTCGTCTGCTCCGCGAACACCAGTGTGGAGGCTGCCAACCTGCCGTTTCTGCGCTGCGCACCCCCAAACTGCAAGAAGATGACCGTGGCCGAGGTCAAGGCGCTCGGTCCCGGGCAAAAGGTGAGTGTTGTTGCAGTTGGTTTGAGGCACCTGCAAAGCGGACAGCGGACTTAACCTGTCTTTGTGTCTTACAGGTGGGAGAAGTGCGCGCTTGAGTTCAGCGAGAAGGATGCATGAGCAGGGTGGTCAACGTCAACGGCGCTGACTGTGAGCTGAATGAGTTGAGGGTCAGCTATGTCACTGGTGAAATTAAGCTGACGCTTTGGGACACCTACGTCAATGCGGCTGAGTGCTCCAGATCCTACTCCTTAAGGAACGACGTGACGCCTAGGAGAGAAGGGTGCATCTGTCTCACCACAGGTTCCTCCAACATTGTGGAGGAAATCGCTGAGGTGGAGGAGAGCAAAGGGCAGGCAGCCAGAGGCCAAACTAAGGGTGCTTTAAAGCAGCAGCTTTAACGGCATCGAAGTTACGATTTCAGACCATTGCCATTTCAGACAGCCGGAGTTCCACGAGAAGTCCAACTTCTCGATGATGCGAGAGCTGCCACTTTATGCAGGCGTCGCTGTCTTTCCTCACGGTGTTCGGTGGCAAAGGAATGGTGGTGACTGAGGATGATGGCGCCGAGAAAGTCCTCTTGACTAATTCAGTGCTTACTCGCTATCTCCGCGACGCCAGCCTTTCGTCGTTATTCAACAATGCAGAGGCCATCGAGGACCACCTCCTTACAGCACTGGGGTTCGATCTGACCATGAGCTTGGATGGCTTCTTAGTTTCCGTTCAGCCGGTGGGAGCGGTGGATTCAGGCGCGAAGGATCAGCCTCTTGCTGCAGCTAAGCTAGCTGGTGATGCAAATCACGGCGAAGGGACGTCCGTTTAGCTCGGGTGGCCTGAAGACGGTTCGGAAGAAACAACACTTTCCTGATTTCATTTCATTGGTTAAATTGTTCTGCATGTTTTGATGTTCTTGTTGTTCAGTGAATGTTTCCCTTTTGAAAATGTAATCCTAGTCGTTATGTCTTTATTTATTTGTAATTTTATTTATTTATTTTTTTACATTACAATATTGGGCGGCGGGGAAAAACTGTTGAACTGCAAAAAGGTAAAACAAAAACTTGCAAATCCAAAACAAAAAATAAACAAATCTTAACTTTAAAACTTGATTTTATTATTATTGTTTTCAATCACAACTTGTTTTATTGAAAATGTTTTGAAATATTTAAACTAAACTTTACTTCTGGTAATAATAATGTTAAACAAAGACAATTCAGTGTCTTTTTTTTAATTGTATTCAAACTTTAAGAAATTAATTCATTATCTTTTTTGGCTAAGTCCTTTTATTTATATGGAGCCGCAACAGCAGAATGAACCGCCTAAATAACAAATACTTCCCTCAAAATAAATCATTTAGGCCTTCGAACAAATTATATATATTTTTATGCTTTTGTGTGTTATTTTTGCTGTATGCTGTTCTAGCGGTTTGACGTGTCTGTGTGTTTATTAGGGGGAAAAAATGTATTTGCACAAAGCTCGAGTTAGTGGACGTGTTTGTCTTGCTTTAACACATGGAAATATGAGAATCATAATGATATTCTAGATACAATGTCTTCCCATCAACATATATAATGCAGGGCTACACGTGTCCACAGATTTTCTTTTAAATGTTTTTTTTTTACTCATTATTATTATTATTATTACAATACTGGGCAGGGAAAAGTTGTTTTAATTTAAAAAAAAAAAAAAAGTAAAACAAACTTTGCAAACCAAAACAGAAAAAAAGTAAATCTTTACTTTTAAACTTATTTCACTGTTTTATTCACAACTTGTTATAGTTAAAACGTCTTGCAGTATTTTAGACCTTGCTTATTCATTCATTTTCTTTTGGCTTAGACTGTTTATTAATCTGGGGTCACCACTGTGGAATGAACCTTCAATTTATACACCATATGTTTTATGCAGCGGATGCCATTCGTGCTGCAACCCAACACTGGGAAACGTCCATGCACACTCCTTCACACACATACACTACAGTCAGTTTTAGCATATCCAATTCACCTGTTCTCGTGTCCTTGGACTTTTGAGGGAAACCGGATCACCCGGAGGAAACCTAGGCGAACACGGCGAGAACAAACATGCAAACAAAGAAATGCCAAGTGACCCAGCCGAGGCCTATTGAAAATAAGAAGGGTGGTCTGTATTGCTGGTGTATATAGGCCTGCAGAAATATTCCATCTTTACATCAGCTGTTACAATGATGCCCTCCTTCGTCTCAAAGTTCTGCCTTATCTTTATCTTTATGCCTTATATCCATTGAATTGTCAGCACAAACTGCAATCGTACTTTGTGCTGTAGTCGACAGACACTTACAGTATGGAGCAAAATCAATGCCAAAAGTCTTGAATTAAAAAGCTTGTTGAATATCACAAACTGAAAAAAATAATACACCGTATTAACAAGTTCTTGCATTTTAATGACTTGAATTCCAGGGTTTGTATTTTTAGGTCCTGAAATTTAACATATCTGTTTATTTAAGCTGTGAATATTTCAACGAAAAATATTTCAAACACCTTTTCATACTTAAAAATTCAATAATTCATATTCAATTTTCAGATTTCACTTACAAAATATTCAATACCCTTTAAAAATACGATGTATAATATTCAAAAGGTCATTTTCAGTTCATTTTATTTCAGTTCAAATATTCGCTTCCATAAATTCAGTGGATCAAATTCGACTGTTAAAATTCAACATTACATCCCGGAACTGCAGGAAAAGCAATAAATTGCAGATTGAAGATCGCCAGCTGCTCTAGCTTTCACCAGCAGGTGGAGATGGAATAATGTAAGATTTTTAACCCAGTAAACAGGCGAGAAAAAGGCTAATAAAGGCACAACAGTAGAATTTAATATTAATATCAATGTTTTGGACATTATAAATAATAAAAAGTATGAGTAAAATGAGTAAATGAGGTTTTAGTCATCTATATTTGCCCTTATGTAACGGAAGCCAGCTGGTGATCGCGTGAATCTCAGTCTTCGGATCCAGCGACAGACGTTGTTCTGCAATCTTTAGCATCCTCGAAGCTTGTCTCCCATGCCGGCTCGCTCCCTGCTCGGATCGGTGCAGTTACTTGCACATAAACCGTCTTTTGATGAATATGATGTTACACATTGTCTGTCTTTATTGACTCTTTCTTCCATAGACGCGAAGTATTATATTGACAGCTAAAGAATATAAACGGAAAAGAAACAGGAGAGGAAATATTATAATAATAATACAAAATAGATAAACATTGACAGGGCTAAGAACAATTACGAACAAAGATATTCAAAAGCAGAGAGATTTTATGAGAATGTTAAATAAAACAGTTTACTTGGAACTGTTAAACAGAGTTCAGGTATGATTTAAGGTTGGTTATGGATGGGGCGTGTAATTTAAAACAATTTAACATAACGTGCGAATGCATTAAAGGAGCGTCTTCAGTTATTCACACAGAACCGTCTAATATGGCATAACTATAAGGAGTAATGTTTGCGCTGTTTTAACGCAGCTATGTCAGGATTGGGATAGGTTATACATTTTCATCATTTAAATTATTATTATGATTGTTAATATTATTGTTGTATGACATGTATTTGGGCTATTGCGCTTAAATAAGTCATCTGGGATTCTAAATTAATATTTCTATTTATCCTTTTTATCACTCTGCCTGTCTTTCTCTTCTTTTTTTTCTAATTTTTGTGGTTCTGCCACGGTTAAACATTTGCAAAATGTCTTAGTTTGTCCAGAATATTGTTTTATTGTTATGTAGCCTATAGGCGGGAAAAATGTATTAACGCAAATGTGGCAATGTCGCAGCCAATTATAAGTAATAAAATGAGTCGTCTGTGGTTTGGTAATAGGCAGTTATAACTGACTTTAATTTGTTTTCAGTATCAAATAAGAAAACCGTTATTTATAACTTTTCAGCGACCGTTTGTATTTTATGATTAGCAATGTTGATTTTTTTTGCAGTTATTAAACATATAAACTTAATTAAACTGGTTTAAATTTAATATAGTTGTCACTTCAGCTAATTTCATAAGATTAATGTTTATAATGCGTGGTTTGACATGCGTGGTTGAGGGGTTCCTGCAAAGCAGCTCAGTGTTCATCATCATGGGGTTATTACTGAGCTTTAATCGCCATCTACTGGAGAGAATGTATTTGCTCAATTATACTATTAACTCTTTTCTGCAAGTGTGTTTTATGATTTCACTAAGTCAAACCATTATGTTTTTATTTTATATTTTGAGATGATCATATTTAAATAAACAATTGCTAGGGTAGCTAATAGTTTCTTTTTTTCTTGTTATTTAAAAAAAAATCAGTAGCCTATAAAATCATAATTTTTGCTTGACAAAGTTATTGGTTTAGCATTCGCGATGCAGTTTTGCTAAATGAGTGTTGGATACTCATAAGCTTACACTAGTTAAATCAATTATATTATCAGAAATGACAGATATAAGAAAGCCATTAATATTCATCACTCTTTTTACAATTATACAAGCAACATTTTGCGCTGACGTCAGCTCCACTTTCGGAAATGGTAAACAGCGAGGTGTTATTCATATAAGCCCAAGCATGACATATGTCATGATTAATATAATAATCGAAACACTCTTGTAGGCTATTCTTAAGCTTGGCCAAATGTCATGACTTTCACTTTCACTTTACATTATTATGCACAAGCCCAGATATCATGTGAAACTTTGGAAGAATTCCTATCATATATTGACAGCCATCCAGCATCTCTTAACCAGTTTGATGTGCGGCGCTGGCTCTGACCGGCCACCGGAGCTCGTGGCCACTCGTTTGACTTTGTCGTGTGCAAGCCGCACAGCACATGCATAAAAACGTCAATCATTTCATTCATTCATCAATTCATTCATTTTCCTTCTGCTTCGTCTCTATTTTAGAGGAAAAGCAATAATCTGGACAAACCAAAGACATTTTGCAAACGTTTAGCCGTGGCAGAACCCCAAAAAATAGAAAAAAAAGAAGAGAAAGACGATAGCAAAGTGATAGCTCAAAAGGATAAATAGAAATATTAATTTAGAATCACAGATGACTTAAGTGCAATAGCCCAAATAAATCTCATATAATAATAATATTAACAATCATAATAATAATTTAAATAATAAAAATATATAACCTATCCCAATCCTGACATAGCTGCGTTTAAAGAATAACTGAAGACCCTCCTTTAATGCATTTGCATGTTATGTTAAATTATTTTAAATTAGACGCCCCATCCATAACCAACCTTAAATCATACCTGAACACTGTTTAAAAGTTCCAAGTAACTGTTTTGTGTGACATTCTCATAAAATCTCTCTGCTTTTGAATATCTTTGTTCTTAATTGTTCTTCTGCAATGTTTATCTATTTTGTATTATTATAAAATTTCCTCTCCTGTTTCTCTTACGTTTGTATTCTTTAGCTGTCAAAATAATACTTCACGTCTATGGAAGAAAGAGTTAATAAAGATAGAGAATGTGTAACATCATATTCATCAAAAGATGGTATATGTGTAACCGCACCGGTCCGAGCAGGGAGCGAGCCGGCGATACCGGCATGGGAGACAAATGCTCCGAGGATGCTACAGATTGCAGAACGTCTGTCACTGGATCCAAGGAGTGAGGTTTACGCGATCACTAGCTGACTTCCGTTACATAAGGGCAAAAATAGATGATTAAAACCTCATTTACTCATTTTTTATCATTTATAATGTCCAAGGCATTGATATTAATATTAAATTCTACTTTTGTGCCTTTATTAGCCTTTTTCTCGCCTGTTTACTGGGTTAAAAATCTTACATTATTCCATCTCCACCTGCTGGTGAAAGCTAGAGCAGCTGGCGATCTTCAATCTGCAATTTATTGCTTTTCCTGTGGTTCCCGGATGTAATGTTGAATTTTAACAGTCGAATTTGATCCACTGAATTTATGGAAGCGAATATTTGAACTGAAATAAAATGAACTGAAAATGACCTTTTGAATATTATACATCGTATTTTTAAAGGGTATTGAATATTTTGTAAGTGAAATCTGGAAACTGAATATGAATTATTGAATTTTTAAGTATGAAAAGGTGTTTGAAATATTTTTCATTTAAATATTCACAGCTTAAATCAACAGCTATGTTGAATTTCAGGACCTAAAAATACAAACCCTGGAATTCAAGTCATTAAAATGCAAGAACTTGTTAATACGGTGTATTATTTTTTTCAGTTTGTGATATTCAACAAGCTTTTTAATTCAAGACTTTTGGCATTGATTTTGTTCCATAGACTAACCATGATCTTCTCTTTGGATCCTCAATTAAGTTTCCGCTGCAAAGAGGCATTGCACAGGCTGAAAGTCTCCCTTTGACCAAATGTTGGCAACAAGCCGGGAGACTTATCCACCTAAGGTAGTATCGAGCTATACTCCCTGAGCAGTCCTAAAGCAGTTCCAGCGTACAGATCGGGCCACTGTGGCCGATGGTAAAGCACGATTAACTAATTAGAAAGCATAAAACACTTAATGTGCGCAGTGAGAAAATGCTTTAGTAAGCCTACTTACTAAAGCACAATTTTACAATGCTATTGCTCTGTTAATGAGGATGAATTTGAGAATTGTCAATTGTGAATATTTTTTCCTTATATTCAGACTTCACATATCCCAACTTATTTTTTTATATTAGAGTTGCCACAGCGGAATAAACCGCCAACTTATCCAGCATGTTTTTACGCAGCGGATGCTCTTCCAGCCACAACCCATCTCTGGGAAACATCCATCCACACACACACACACTCGTACACTATGGACAATTTAGCCTACCCAATTCACCTGTAACACATGTCTTTGGACTGTGGGGGAAACCGGAGCACCCGGAGGAAACCTTCACGAACGCAGGGAGAACATGCAAACTCCACACAGAAACGCAGAGGCTCGAACCAGCGACCTTCTTGCTTCGTCGCCTTTACATATTTAAGTTTTATTAAATATATTAAAGTTTCATTCCATATGTTCAGACTTTCACTCAATATATTCAGGCTTTCATTCCATATATTCAGACTTTCATTCCATATATTCAGACTTTCATTCCATATATTCTGGCTTTCACTCAATATATTCAGACTTTCATTCCATATATTCAGACTTTCATTCCATATATTCTGGCTTTCACTCAATATATTCAGACTTTCATTCCATATAATCAGACTTTCATTCCATATATTCAGACTTAGAATCCAACTTGAAAAAAAAAAAAAAAAATATATATATATATATATATATATATATATATATATATATATATATATATTTTTTTTTTATTGGCATTGATTGATTTGAAATTCAAATGGCACTAACATGACTGTGTTTTAATTTCTGTAATAGATATGTTGTTTACATGAAATCTGTATAACAAGTTAAACAAAAATTCTAATATAAAATAGTTTTTGTCTTGCGTTTACATATATTTTACATTTGAATAGCGGAAATGACAAATTTCAGTCTTTTAAATTTGATTAATCGCGATTAATTTTCAAAAAAAAGGTGTGATTAATTAGTTATTTTTTTATCGATTGACAGCACTAATATATATATATATATATATACAATTTTTACTCGTTCAAACTAATTAATTAAAATGTTTTATTAATCAATTTTTTATTTTATTTTTAATTAAACAATTCTTGAGATTTCATTGGGACAACTTAATTTTGTATGTTCAATTTACATAAATTTGTTAAAAGTGTTAAGTTAATTTAATTTGTGTTGCGACAACATGAAAGAATTGTGTTGACCCCTGCAGTTTTCACAGTGTGTGTAATGTGCACAAATATAGATATCGGTTCATAATATAGTTGAAACACATTGTCAGATTTTGCTGTATTTGGCTGAACCATTCTTGGGTGGCTCGTCAATGTATTAGATGACTCTAATACATAAAATAAGTAAGCTGACCAAAGTTCTTACGGGGAGAAGACTTTATTGAAGACAAAGAATAGTGCAGTTTCTCAGAAGTGATGTTAACTTGTCTGTCTTCAAGTAACTTAATCCAAAGTACAGTCTGTGAGAGACTACTTTATAACAAAGGATGTAACCCTTCTGAGATAACCCAACTACTTTGGTTGGGTCACAACTCCTAAAGTTCATGTAGACCATTTGGTTCAGACCTTCTCAGATGCAGATACTTGTTTGCATATGAAACAAGCCACACAATCTATCAACATATAGAGTTATTTTGCATTCTTGCAGTGCGGCAGCAACTCAGATGCACACTACAATCTGATCTGACCCCTGATCTACACTATAAAACAGTAAAATCTTCACCCCTTTTCAGTTGTTGAGTTTAAATCTTCAGGTATTCAAAGGGTTTTATTTTCAGTAACTGGATATGTATTCAAGAGTTCACACTTGTTCCGCGAGAGAGCTCTAAGCTCATTGGATCCTCGAGCCCTGGGCTCCCTTCCGTAAACAGGGCGAGAGGGGAGTTTGAACGACTTGTTTCTGTTCTAATGAAAGATATAGAGAACGCTAAAGGGAGATATAAGACTTACTAAGAGCTCGACTATGGTGCCAATTTAGAATGTTCAGTTTACCTAGGTCATGTGATTTTGGACTGTGAAAGGAACCCAGGGGAAACCCACGCGAGCATCGGGTGAATGAACAAAACTCCACACAAATGTTAACTGGTTCAGTGGGGACTTTAACGTGTGACGTTCTTGCTTTAAGGCAACAGTGCTAACCACTGTGCCACCGTGTTGCCCAATCTAGAAAGGAGGGGGAGTGGGGGGATTCCTCAAGATGAAGATAACTGAAGTAAGAAACCATAGTTATTTATATTGAATCAGGATTCATCTGATTGGTGAATCATGCGTTAGCTAATGCAGGACCAGCCGTGGACAATCATAAGCATGTGATCCTCTCGAAAGGATTTCGTCATTTCTCACATGAATGAACAGCTAAACTACATGAAAAAGCTGCCGTTTTGAATATACCCGTGTTTGTGTGGACAAGGCCTCAATGTTGAGGACTCTGCTCTCCATTGTGAAGCTTCATGTGAGCACTGAGGCTTCTTTTATGTTTAAAGGCCTTTCCACACTCACTGCATCTAAAACGCTCTCCTGAGTGAGTCTTCATATGGTTCTTAATGGAGTCTTTGTGTGTGAGACTCTTTCCACACTGATCACATGTGAACACTATGGTTCCAGTGTGAAGATTCGTGTGATTCATGAGGCTAGCTTTGGCTCTGAAGCTCTTTCCACACTGAGCACATGCAAACGGCTTCTCTCCAGTGTGAGTTCTCATGTGGTTATTGAGTGTGGTTTTATATGGGAAACGTTGACCACACTCAGTGCATCTGTAAGGTTTCTCTCCAGTGTGAGTTCTCTTATGGTTATTGAGTGTGGTTTTATGTGTGAAACTTTTACCACACTCTGTGCATCTGTAAGGTTTCTCTCCAGTGTGAATTCTCCTGTGGATACTGAATGTGGTTTTATATGGGAAACTTTGACCACATTCTGTGCATGTGTAAGGTTTCTCTCCAGTGTGAATCCTCATGTGGATGTTAAGGTTGTGTTTTTTAGCAAAACTTTTTCCACACTGTGTGCAAGTAAAAATTCTTCCTTCATTGTGAGTTCTCATGTGAACTTCAAGGTTGCTATTTTGCTTAAAACTCTTTCCACACTGTTGGCATTTGTACGGCTTCTCTCCAATGTGAATTCTCATGTGGGCCTTAAAGCCATGGATTTTAGGAAAACTCTTTCCACACTGTTCGCAGGTGTAAGGTTTCTCCCCTGTGTGAACCCTCATGTGAACATCAAGCTTTGGCTTTTGACTGAAACTTTTTCTACACTGTTTACTGCTGAAAAAAGATTTGGATTTCCGAGGTCTTCTGCGTAATGAAGTCTTTTTAGTGAGTGTGGGTTTTTCATCAGTCGTTATGTCTTGATGTTTCTCTTCCATTTCATTCCATTGAGTCTCTTCTTTCTGCACCATCAGATCTTAAAAAAAAAAAAAGTGAACTTTAGTATGAAGGCCCAAAGCGATAAGCATGAAATGGATGTTTCACCCACAAATGAAAATGACTTTACCATTTACTCTCTGTCATGTGGTTTTAAACATTTCCTTTCTTCTGGAACACAAAGAAAGCCAGCGTTTTTTCCACAAGATCTTCTTTTGTGTTTAACAAGATCAAGAAACTTGTAAAGATTTAAAACCACATGAGGGGAAAGTAAATAGTGAGGCTATTTTTATTTCTGCGTCAACTATCCCTCTAAAGTTCCTATTATGAACCTTGTTTTACAAGATATAAAATAAGTCTGGTATTGCCAGAATGTGTCTGAGGTTTCAGCTCAAAATCAGATCATATACCTTATACAAAATAAAGAATATTTAATTTTGGGGTCAGAGGAAAACCAAGCTGTTTTTGTGCCTGTGGCTTTAAATGTAAATGATCAAATGCACTTGCTCTAGATTACTCATGTTGTGTTTCCTCATGTGCATTTTCCACTGGATTTAAACATTTGCAACTTGCTTGGAAGACCCGAGTGAGACAATTCCTGCATGTTCATGGCAAGTATGCATAACTTACGCTTATTTTTGTGAGTTTGCATTCTTGTATTTAACTTGTGTTATATAACAAATGTTTCCCAGTACTGGGTTGCAGCTGGAAGGGCATCCACTGTTTAAAATAAATGCTGGATAAGTTGGTTGTTCATTCCGCTGTGGTGACCCCTAATGAATAAAGGGACTAAGCCGAAGGAAAATTAATGAATGAACATATGCAAATGCTTAAATGTCATGTTTGCTGTAAACTGTAGTGATGAGGAGATGGCAAGATGACATACTTTGCTACTTGTTTTCATTCATTTAAAGAGCTCTATTTTGACGGTCTATGCGCAAAACGGAAAGCGCAGGGCACTAATGCATTTAGGGTGTGTCATAATTTAAATTTTCTAATATAAGGACGGGAAAATCCGCTTTGCGCCATGGCACATGGTCTGAAAGGGTTGAGTTTATTTTCTTAATGAGTTATAGGTGTGTTTTGAGAATAAACCAATCAGAGTCTCATCTCCCATTACCTTTAAGAGCCAGTTGCAACGCGCCATCAGAGCATTTGATATTTACATGACGTAAAGTAAGTTCACTTTCGCTTTTGCTCTTTTGGATAGGGAACCCTTAACGCACAGACATCAATTAGCCTACACTGTAAAAAATTGCTGTTAAAAAACGGTCAGATTCTACGGTAAAACAATGTTTTTTCACTAAAACAGTAATATTCTGTTAAAAACAGTGCTTTCTGGGTAACATTTTTTGTTTTCGAGAAAGTAACCAACTGCAGAAAACTGTGAGCTATCAGAGTTCAGATTCGATGTTTTGAAGTCTGTGTTTGAAATCACACTTTGTGTCCTTGTTCACTATTTCATACACTAGTTAACTAATATAGTTCACCTGACAGTTTTAATGAACACTAATGAGTGAATTCAGACACTGATGAACACCTGCTGTTAATAATCACAATTACTGAAGAAAATAAACAAGAAACACAAACAGTGACATGAGTTACAACATTAAATAAAATCAAATCAAATAAAACAGCTTCAGTCTCAGCAGAGGTTCATTAAACAACTCCACAAACAACAGCAGACACACTTATTACTGACTGATTTGACTTCCATACTATTCTCAATGAGATCCAACAGAAATTAAGGTGTTTTTTGTGTCACCGTAATGGAGTGAGGGGCTGGTTTAGTTGGGCTCTTCACCCTTGAACTCATTTAAGAAGACTTTCCAACTGCTTGAATGCAGAGTTTACATAACGTTTGTATTATAGCAATAAAGTTGGGAAGTCAATAAATAAAGAAATCTATTTATCTGAAATTAGTTCTGATAAATGTTTTGGTATAAATCTGGATGAAGGGCCACATTCAATAGATTTTATGCTTAGTTGCAGGTATTAATTTAATTAATGAGAAGTGGAAACAGAAAAGATACCTCCGTAATTACTTAACAGTAAAGAAATAACATACAAAAACAGTTCAGTGATGACAAATTCACACTCAGACCTCATGAATCTGACCTTGTATCTCAACAATGGTAACATCTCAAATGTTTCATGCTGCAATGCATGCTGGGAGTGGCACTGTACAAATATCCCAGCATGCATTGCGGTATAAATAAATGTTGTATGATGGTCTAACAGTTTTCTTTATTTGTGTTTGATTCTGCTGTTGTTTATGTTTAGACTTTCAGTTGACTGTTTGTGAGTTAAACTGTTAATTTTGTTAGTTGTCACCATTATTGAGGTTCATATGCTGATTATTGATGTCTCTTTGAGTGCGATTTACACCATAGAGCAGTGTTATTGTCCAAGATATTCTTAAAAACTTCCAGAAATCATTGCCATATATATATACACATAATGTAAAACAATAGATTTAACATTGAATAGCAGCAGTACATTTTATTATACGAAATGAGAACAGACTCTGCCATTTAATAGCAACATGAACATCACCAGATCTTATTTAGGTTTTTGGCTGGCTTGCCACAACAAAGGAGCTTTTCAAACAAAGTTCTTAACAATTGCAGCAGCCACGATGTATAAATGTTAAAAATGACAGGGCTAAGAGCCCAACTAAAGCAAACTCTGTTCTCCATGATGGTGACGTAAAACTTTAACTTTTTTCTCAAGAAGAACTTTAGTAGATGTTATACAGAAATACATGTATTAAGTAATAAGTGTAGCTGGTGATGATGTTTGTAGAGTTGTTTAATCATCCGCTGATCATTTAAATGATTTAATCATTTGTTGTTCTTCAGGTTATTTCATTATAAAGCTGTGACTAAAGTTTTGTATGTTCTGTTCTTGTTTTTTCCCTTCAGTATTTCTTCATTTGTTCATTGTTAATCCTCAATTATCATTTAATTAGTCAGTTAATTAATGAATTTACTTCAGCTTTGCTCCATGTTTCTTGAACACTCAGTAGTGTGGACACTTCAATTAAAACTGAAGTATATGCTCTGGGGTTTAAAGGGTTAAAGGTGTGAGAGGTAAAAACACAGTGTAAAAATGTATTTTAACAGTAATATACTGTTAATTTACACAACGGAAGTAGACTGTAATAAAACAGTATATTGCTGGCAACCACAGCTGCCAGTAGATTACTGTTAAATCAAGGAAAAAACAGTATTTTACTGTAAAACCTGAAGCTAATTTCTTCTGTCTGTCACCGTTGTGGAGGAGAGTAGAGCCAGTGTGTGAGTTAAAGATGAACAATGAACTGCTGATGTTATTCTGCATGTTTCTCTATTTAAAGAAAGCGGCTGTTTAGTTGCTGATGCAGTCAGAATCTCTGGTGATTCCAGATTTACATGTATGTGTGCTGTTGTGAAAAATAAGACATTAGAGTTAAACCGAACTTTTCTAATTAACTAAAATAAGTCATCATTATAAGTATGCTTCTAATCATATATAGCACATTACTTCATAAACTCATTCAGCAGTTGACCAAGTTGAGGCAGTTGCTTTCAGTGAGCAAAATGAGTTCACTTGAGTATTGTGTAAATCAATGTAGTCCATGTATTTTTACAGCAACATACTGTAAAATAACAGTACATTGCTGGCAACTGCAGCTGCCAGTATTTTACTGTTTTTTAACGGGACAATTTTTAACAGTGTATAAATAATTAATTACGTTTGTTAAGCGCAAAGATTTGTTTCAAAACTATTTCTAAATTCAGTTCTAAATTCCAGCAAACGAATAAATGAACAATAAAAATGAAGTGTGCTCAAAATACTGAGTTATTTCCAAATACACATGCTGTGCCACATATGGTCTAAAACCTGACAGGTGGACAAATCTAAGCTTGTTTTTAATAAAACAAATATAAATATGGATATAATAAATAATACAGCTAATATTAATAACATTATACAAAAGCAAATTGAATGAACTGGAAAAGCCTCCCGAGATGAAGAAAGTATGAAGGCAGTGGTTTTTAAATTCATATAGGCTAGAAATTAATATGTTTTGTAATATTTTAATCATTTATATTTATATCCTATATATATCCTTATTATATAAATCCTTAATATATTATATCTTTTTCATATGTAAAGATATATGCGTATTGCTCTACATCTTGTGTGTAGTGTGTAAGCCAGGCGCACTTTTCGCCAGACAATAGACAGACTTTGTTCTGGTCTAAAGATCAGACTATTTACAGTTTCTCAAAATAGCAACGCGCCAAAACACGCCTGTTTTTTTAGACCAGAATGCCTGTGGGCACACATTTGAGCGCAAATGCATTTGCTATTTAAACACCTCAAAATGACCCTTGCGCCGAGCTGAAAGTAGCAAATAACAATTGTGTCGCACCTTGCGCCACATTGTGCCTGGTGTATGATAGGGCCCCAAGTGTTTACACTTAACAATCCTCAAGCCTGAGGCTCCCTGCCATTTGCAATGCGAAAGGGAAGTTTAAGCTCGGGTAGATCTTGAGAACTAATCTGCTCTAGTAGCTAATAAACAGAAAGTGATTGCTCTTAAGAGATAACTACTTACTAAGAGCATGTCTAAGGTGCCG